GTGATGATTAAAAAACAAAAACCCTGTAGATATATCTGAAAACAGATAGTTATTTACAAAATGGCTTTAATAAATTATCTTTTCCAAGTAGCTTTATTTGTGAAACACTTTTGTGACATTTACCTTAACATAGTGTCATGTACGTTAACTTGGATATATGTATATATAGCAATATTGAAATGTTTGATAAAGTTATAAAAATATCTTAAAAATAAACAAGTAGCTAGGGGACAATTATCCTTCTCAATGTGTTCTTCAAAAGAAGTTCTCAGTCGATTTCAGATGGCCAAATGCCTAGAAGTAATATTGCTTCTTACCATGAAATTGTTGATAGATACAATAAACATTCAAGATTTTAGTATAAACAAACTCCTTTAGAATGTATTAAAAGTATAAGCAAAGTCAAAGACCTTCCAGTGGAGAATATATTATGCATTTGCCCAGTGTTCCACAAAATTTAAGATCCACTGCCTCAGAATTTAGACAGCAGTGATTTGAATGATACATACCTATGTACAACCACAAAATTAAAGGAAAAGAATTGTGTTTAAAGTGCCTTATCAGAGTATTATTAAAAAGTATAAATGATAGAATTTTTAAAATTTCTAACCCCCTCTAAAATTCCTGTCTTTGAAAACCCTTTAAATAAAGAGGAAAACTCAAAAGTATACTGTTGTTAAAGTAAAACTAAATAGAAGGTTCTTTACACCAAGGTTATTTGAGAGCCAGAATTGTGGTTTCATTAAGAGCAACAAAGCAGAATCACCCCATTAATTCAGGAGCTGAACAGTCCTGGCAGGGTGAGGGTGGGGGATCAGGCTACAGAATTTGAGCAAAAATCTGAAAACAAGTATCAAAACATCAAAACACTTTATATTTATTATGGTATCTGTTTTTCTCACATGCATTAATTTTATACAGACTATAAAATGTTTTGCATGTTAAGATTCTTTTCAACTCATTTGTAAGCAAGCACGGTTCCCTGCTAATCATTCTTTGTATGTCTAAGTGGCCTAACATGCACATCTCTTAAAATCACCTGTGAATAAAACAGACGACTAATTGAGTAACTTACCTGGTAACATTACAGTACCATCTTGTTCCAGTGTTTCAGGGCTTATTCTTATGGCTGTCATGCTGTGGTTATTCACATCTCTATACAATAAATAACCCTAATAACAACAAAAAATTTTGCTATGTTATATATTAAAATATTTGTTCAATACACACTTAGCAGGAAAAGTAGCCATACAGGTCTGTATTATAGTTTTTTGAGGTACAATAATGTATCAATATTGGTATCTAAAATAGATTAAAGATTTAAAATATGAGAACATGAGTATAGTTTAATGAGAAGAGGAAACAGACATTACTGGGTATCAATTTAACCTATTATATGCTCAGATACACACATTAGATACACCACTCAGGACTATAATAATACTTTGTTCAGAATTATTATATCACTTGTCAAGTAAATAATAGAAATGACTGCTGCTACTTTCAAAAATATTTTAAGGAAAAACAACAAATATTGAGATTAATATTTAAAAATGAATAGAGTAGTGGTTTTAGATAGCGTGATATATCACTGAACATAATTCTGTAATAAGTAATGTATTTCCCATGACATTATTCCTTAGATATAATGTAGTATAGCAGTGGCAAATAAAAATTTGGTATTTTAAACCAGGCTAACTTTTAAGAGACAATACGGAGTAATTAATTTGACATTTAAAATTTAATTTCAAATTCTCCCTCAAAGTTGATATAGTAAGATTGTTTTTCATATAACAATTTTTTAAATTTTCAGAATGCTTTCAACTATCTTCTTTCATCTGATGCTGACAACAAACTGTTGCCATGGACATCTTTATTCCTTATTTTTCCACAAGGAATTTGGGCTTCACTTCTCAGGCACAGAAATAAACACTTCTTTCCTTTTGACCATCATTCATCTGCTTCATGGATCTGATTGCTGGCACTCATTTGGCCGTGTTAGTCATGTGATAAGATCACAGCATTAAGAGAGTGACATGGGCCAAGCTCTTCTCTCTCATCGATGATACTTTGCATGATCCTCCATGCAGGTGGCTACCTACTGAACAGGCCACACAATGTTCCCTGGAAGGTACTGATTGAGACTTAGAACAGGAGAGTTTGTAACAAAAAGCTCTAATCTGGCTTTGGGTCACAGCTGCATTCCCAATTAAGATTTGCAAATGATAAAGACGGCCTTTTGATTCTTATCTAGAGGCTAACTTAAACAAGAACTCCAACAGAAGACATATTTATTCCCATTTTACAGCTAAATCACAAGTTGTCCACAGTCACACAGCAGTAAGAAGCAGGGCCAGACCTAAAAGTAAACTGCTTATGAATTCTAAGTCAATGTCCTTTACACTACACCATATCATTGTCATAGTCAAATTATTAAAAATATGCCATATCTGTTTAAATAGAAGTGATATTATTTATTGATTAAACAAGAAGGAGCCACAAATTTTAAAGGACAAGAAGAAAAGTTTGGTTTATTGTGTATATTCTCCTACCTGAGCATATCCTAACCAAGATTTTTTTTCTTTTCTGTTTCTGATGCGAGATGTAGAATTATAAATGTGGCCCTGCAAAACAACCAAAGTTAGTTCTGTCAACACTTTCAGAATTAATAATCAGTGAAAAATAACACAAGTGGATGAATGACATTTAATTCAGGTGTTTCCATTATGATTTTCAAAACAATACGATGTCAAAATTAGATGGTACTCTAAAATTAAAGCCTGAAACAAACAGAACACAATTCAATATGGATATAACTGCCACCGTGATTAAGAACTGTAAGGAATCACATTACCCTAACTGTTCCACTGTATCCAGAGCCTATTTTGTATAATCCATCCTTGCATAACAGATAAAGGAAAAATCCATCATTCTGAAGTAGACATTGATCATCTTCATCAACAGATATTTCTTTTAATGGCCACTTGTGCATTAAAGCTGCTTTCTTAATGCCATTGCTAAACCAGTCCTGAATTTGAATTTTTCCCACCAACACTGCCTGTACACTTCTCTGTAGTGAATTTAGTATCATTGGCACCTATTCAAAAGAGAACACAAAAAGACATTTTTAAATGTCTCACACACAGACAAAAATAAAGATACTTTATTAATATATCATCATTTATAAGAAACTAAATTATTCAGAACGAGGTTTGGCATGTCAGGAAAAAGTATCAAAATGCTGTATGTGAAACTGAAGTACTTCAGAAACAAATCAATTAATGGAAAACTATAAACAACCAATCAAAAATATAGTAGAAGGATATCATATCCCTTTCTTTCAACAGGGGAAAGACATTTAGGAACTATCAAGGAATTTCATACTTGAGATTTCAGAGCAAGATGGGAGGTGGGGGAGGGTGGAGAGACAACGTAAAGAGGAGGCTGTAGTGCTGACACAAAGACCAGGTTAAAGATTTAAATTCTGCCAAATTTCACTTTTTTACCTTTCATGCCACAGAGTTAAACACACATGTACCTCAGCTCAAACACCTTAGATTATTACATATCAACCTTGGACAGATCAAACTACTATACTGAGCGAGAAAAAGCAGGGAATTCCTATTGACAGAAATTGAGATGAAATTGCAACTTGGCATCTTATCGATTTCTAAACGGCTGGAGATATGAAATACCTGAATAGTTTGGCAAGCATGGCTGCCATTGTTGGTGAGGATAGCAGAGATGGCCTGAAGTGTCCTTCCTGTTTCTCCCCAAGCAGCCACCAGGCTAAAGAGACAAGCACAGGAAAGTGCTGTCAGAGACTGTCCTGTGCTGTCATTCATTCCAGTACTTCGAACGGTGATTTCCAAAAGGAGCTGGAAGAGAGACTCTGCAGATAAAACAGAATTTAATTATATTCATTGAACATACAGAACACTATATGGTATTTGTTTGTTTGCCTGTTTGTTTATACCTTGCTTCATTATCAAAAAATAATTAAGGCAGCCACAGCACTTACTTTGCGTTAGTTCCTTTCTAGTCACCCCCTTCCCTGCCAAAGTCAGAATATTTATATAAAAAGGGCCTTAGAGAATATTTAGTTCAATTCCTTATTTTTGTGTTTTCATTTATATTCCATTTTCAACAGAATTTATACAAGATGATTTAAAAGAAATCTACTTTTAGTTTGAATTCACATATTCAAGAAATAGCCTACCAAGTGGTAACAGACTACTCACTGCACTTATTTTGACTTTCTAGATTGAGAAAAATATGGGCTTCTTAAAGTGTTAAATTATCCAGAAAATTATGTATTTATTTGCAAAATAGAATATGTAAAACATATACAATAATTTGTTCTAGTATAAAATTGGCTTTATTGCTAATGCAACAGCAGTTCACATTGTAATTCATTTTATACTCTAGGAAAAAAAAACCTCCACGTCAATAGGATAGCTACCCCTTTTAATGGATAATGAAGCTGAGACACAAAGAGGTTAAAAGATTTTCCCTAAATCATAAAGCCATATCACAGCAAAGATGGAAAAATAATACATGAACGTTCTATATCTATCACAGGTCTCCACATGAAACTCTACCCCAGATTGAGTCAATAAACTTCTGGGTGTTTCTTGTAAACAAGGGAAAGGGGATTTGAAATCCTTAAGAAGTGCACAGTCAGAGACAGAGAGAGAGAAAAATTGAGGAAGATGGAAAGAGGGAGAGGAAAAGGGGAGGGAAGGAGGAAAGCAAGAGAGAGAATTGATGCTATTCTCTGAAAACTAAAAGGCCATCTGTGGTTTCTTTGTTAACACACAGAAACCAGTCTTCCTCTACCTGGTCCCCATCTTCCATATTTAATCTCTAAGTAAGTCTTGTCAATTGTACTTCCTAATTAACTCCTCCACCTCTTGCATCTCATCAGCATCTCCCCGAGCCATGCTATCTATCACCATCTCTTAACTGGACTACTGAAAATTGTTCATAAATTAGCTCCTACAATTCACTTTTGCCCCCTTACAGCCAAAGAAAATTTTTAAACCAAAAACCTGGTATTCTATTTAAAATTCATTCAGTCCTTTGTTAATTCCTCCCTGCCCATCTTCCTACTTTCCTTTTTCCCTCTCTTCTTCACTCCTGTGTACATCCCTCAGTCTTTCCTTTTTTCCATCTAACCTTCCCTCTACCTTTCCAACTATCCTTCCTTCCCTCCATCCTTTTATCTATCTTTCTTCTAGCTTGACCATCCTTCCTTCCATCGTTATCTTTCTGCCCATTCATCTTTTAGTGATTTAGCCACTATTTTCTGAATTCTTCCTGAACATCAATAACTATTCCAGGTTGGGGTAGCACACTGGCAAAAAAGACAAAGAATATCTCTGCCATCAAAAAAGTTAGATTCAAATGGAAGAAAACAGTTTAAGACTGTAAAGAATTTTTACTTAACCATAAGGAGACAGTGACATTCAATTCCTCTTAGAACGATAACCAGACTCCTTTAACACAACCTATAAAGTGCCACGCGATCCGCTCCCTGCCACCTCCATCCCCTCAGTCTCCACATTCCAGTCACAGTCTTTCTCAGTCAGTCTCTTCATAGCTCAGAGCCTTACTATGTGCTGTCCTTTCTGCCTGTAAACTTAGCTAACTCCTTCTTACTCATCCTTCAAATCTCAAGCATCACACCTGCAGGGAAGCCTGTCAGAAAGTCTCCAAACTCCTTCTTTCTCCCATACGATTTATCCACATTTGTAATCATACATATGTCTGACTGTCTGATGCTAAGTTTCATATTAACAGCAATGAGGTCAACAAGGTTTATATTGATCATTTCTATATTATACACTATTGCACAGACCCAGAAGATGCTATTACATTTAAGTGAATACTTGAAAACATATATTCTAACCTTAAATTGAACAGAAAGATAGATATAAGAGAATGATTTTTTTAAGCTGGATAATTCGTAAATCAAAATCCATTTGCAAAGAGAAATTTGATGTATAATAATCATCAAGCAATCCCAACAGTAAGAGGAATACATACATACATATATTTTCATGAATAACATGAAAAAAACCAATGTGGAAAAAGTGTAACTAATATGATTATGATATTAGGTCAAAGGAAAACACAGAGACAGATTCCAATAGAAATTTAGTTTTAAAGAACCAAATTACTACCTATACCTTTGAGCTAATCAAACAAAAAATATGTAGTAGAAGTAAATGCTGGAACAGAAAAATAAGTCAAAGTAGTGAAGAGATCAGAAGTAAGCACTGAAAGGACAGAAGAGAGACCAAGACAACACAGTAGCATTTGCAACTGTTAATAAGAAAATAAAAACAAATAAATTAATCAGGTGAAAGTTCAGAAAGAAAGATTAAGCTACAGTACATACTATAATTTCAAAAACCAGTGTTAAGAACAAGATCCATTTTGAAAAAAGTAAAGGAAACGGAGTATTTAAATATAAACTGGATATAAAAGAGAGTGTATAACAACTTATAGAAGACAACAGAATGGCAGAAGACCTACGAGGAAACCAAGGATTAGCAGGTTGTTCAAAGTAAGACATAGGATACCCTGGTTTAGTGGATATTTTAAATATTTCCATTATTTGCTGACTGACAAACCAGAGCTAAGGATAACTAGCAAAATATTCTTAAATAAAATTAATTAATTAAATCTTCAGTAAAGTGCCACGAGGCCAAGTAATAAGCAGCTACAGTAACAATAATCAGCAGGGCGCCTGCTTCTTAACATACGGCAGCTTTTATTTGGTAGTAACATTTAATAACACGGCAAGTTGGGGGGGTGGTGTTGTTTTTTAAAATTCTCCATTTACTTTCATGACCAGCCCTCCCCTCACTGACTAAAACAAAACAACAATAACAACAACAAAAAAATCAAACACAAAAACTAATCACAGTGTGTGACCGAAACAATAATAATCTGATATGTAATTAAATCCATGTGACTAAGTTCACATATGTGGGTCTAACACAATCCAAATAAGCAAGTCGAGAAAAAACATCAAACTCTAGTCCATACCATCAATGTGGTCCCCAGAGCAGCAGCACCAGCATCACCCATTAACACTCCAAATGCAAATTCTTGGATCCCACCCCAAATATACGGAATTAGAAACTCCACAATCAGGGCCTATATTGACTTAAACAAGTTGATGCTTCAGATTAGAAAACTCTAGACTCCCTAAAGGCCCACAGTTAGCATCAGAGAAAAGCAATTAGCCTTCAAAATTAAGTTTCCATCTCTATTTGTATTCCTTAAGAGTCCCTGTCTTGCTTATAGGATTATGTGTTGAGCCTAGATCTGGCATGAAAGGCAGCCATTCATAAAATTTATATGCACTTTATGAAAAGCAAACATTTTTATTTAATGGAAGTTACTACTAATTCAGAAGCTTTAACAAAAATAGAGTTTTACTTATCAGGAATACAGAAGAAGTGCCCTCCCTGTTTAGTAACTAATTGTGCTGTTTTGGGTCGACAGCACTTGTTTCCTTTTTCCCTACTTTTTTAAACTCTCCAGAATAACATGTAAAGTTAGAGAAAGTCAATGTTAGCTATGTTGGCCAAAGGTTTACTAAGAAAAAAGTTCATAGTGAGCATAAGGCTTGAGGACTATTTCTGGGTTCCAAGGATTTATGCTTTGCTTTTTTCCCTATCACTACAATAACCAGGAAATGTCTGTGCATGACCTATAACTCTTAAATCATAACTCCAGTGGAACACGGTTAAGTAATTTAAAATTTTATCTCTGTTGTTTCAGTACCATAAATAGAGACTGAATAACTGGCTGCTATATGTGCTTCATAAGAGAAGCTCCTAATATTTAAAGGCTTCATTCAATGTGCCTAAGCTCTTACCTAGGACCTCAGGTGGCTCTGACTGGAGGCCTTCTGGCTGCTGACCCTGAAGCACGTTAAGCAGGGCTTGGAGACTCCTGAGGCACAGGGATGGATGGGAAAATCGCGTCTCCTTGATCAATTCAAAAACTTCACAAAGTCCAACCTCAATGATCTATTTAAGATGGAAAAAAGATTATACTTCATAGCATGTGAGCTAATAACACTTCTCAGGTAGTATAATTGGTACAGCTTACTTCCAGAGCAAATGGTTAATGCTGCAATATTAAAAGGCAAAAACGAAAACCATCACATAAAAAAGAATAAAACCCCATGTGTTTGATTACAAGATTTAGAAAACCATCTGTTTACATGGAAGGTTAAAAGACAGTAGCACTGTTTAAAAAGTAGTTTTGGTATAATGAAGCCATAATAAAATATCATGAAAATCATTTATAACAGTGAACTAAGTACTAGATTGAATTCATTCAGAAAAAAATAGACTGCATTAATTTACAAAGTTCACTTAGCTGTACTCAAGTAAAAACCAGCACTCTTTTGTAAAGCTGTGTTAATAGTTACCTATGAACAGAAAAAAAGTCAATATAGCACATATGGTGAAAAGGATAAAAAAGGAACTTTTTGTCTTGGCCTTTCCTATAATGTACAATCACCATATTATTATTTGTAGATGGTGTCCCTTATTTTTGCAGGATTTATCAGAGAAAGAATTAAACATTGTCTAGTTAAAAGATCGTGGCTATTTTTACTTGAATTATCTTACCACTTCTCATCAGGACCAAGAAAAATATGATTCAGTAACTAGTGAAAGATAGAAAAATCTGTAACTATATGTTGATAGAACAAATATGATGAGCTGGTAAAAGAAGGGCAGAGGAGGAAGTGAAGGAAGAAGAAAAAAGAATTCTACTCCTCAGAAGGTCTGGGTGTGAAATGTCTAAGCTTCTAGCATCTAACATACAAATTTCTCTACAACTGCTACGATCTTATTCCCTTCCCTTCACACCCAGAAAAAAAAGGGGGTTCTTACAAATTTTCAAAGCTACTTTAGCTTTTAAACAATTCTCTTGATCCCACCTCCTCCTCCATCTCTAACAGAATTTTGTTTCAACTTCTGTCACCATGCTAACTCCCTAATCTGTATTTCTAGCTGCGATCTTTCTTTTGAACTTCAGCCTTACATAGTATGCACTGGACATCTCACAGATATGAGATGTTCAGAACTCAACTTAATCATTGTTCCAATAAAGCACTGTTTCTCCTCCAATTCTCCACTTTCAGTAAATGGCTTCACCACCCAGAAACTTTAGGAATCTATTTAGTCTACTCTCTCTTTCAGCCTTCATATTCAACTAATTAACAGTTCCTGACAATTCTGCTTCCTGAACATTTCTTGTATGCCAAACACTGCCAGCACTCTAGCCCACCCTCATGAACACAGCCAAGTCAACTGCAGTAACTGCCTCACTGATTCTTTGGTTCTCGCCTTCCCGCCCTCTAGTGGATCTGCCTTACTAGCACCCGAGTGACTTTAATAAAATACAAATCTGATCATAGTCCTTTGCTTAAAATAGTCCATATTTCCAACTTACAAGACAAAATCTGAAAACAGCTGCATGATATGTAAGGCCCTTCATTATCTAGCTCCTGCTCTCTACTCGTGCCCTGTTCAGCCTCTCCACTCCAGCCAATGCTTTCGCGTTTGTAAGGATGATGTTCCCCTGCCTGCAGGTGCATCTTCAGTTAGTGCTGCTCCTTACTCCACTGTGCTCCACTGCACGCCTCTAACAATCCTTAAAGCAACAGACATGCCTGCTATCCCAATATGACTTTCTTATATACCCCACATAACTTTCTTGAGGGTGGGATTGTATCTCATCACTTTGTTCTCAGGGCCTAATAGAATGCTTGCTTTAACTCAAAAAGAATTTAGTGAATTAAGAAGTATATAAATGAATCTGGGTACATCTACATCTTTTAACAAAATACGTGGCATGACTAACTTCAAATAAGTTTGGGTAGGAAGCATGAACTCTAAATATGACTATTAAAAATTATGCAGCTATGAAATTTGGAATGCTTTACAGGATCTGGAAATCAGATAGTGAAAGACAGTTTGAGCTGGGTAAAAACTATTTTTTTGGTAAAAAACTTAACAGCTTTTAGTGGGTGAGAGTAAGAAAGTACTATTAAAATATCAATGATTATTGACTCACAAAAAGCAAAAAGCAAGAAAATCAGACAGGCAAGGCCTACATCAATCAAAACCAATTTAATTAACTTTTAAAAGTCAAGAAGGGAAAAAATAAAATTGTATCAATATTATGTTTCAACAATAAAAACTGTCTTAATTATGTGAGAGAAAAAAGGAGCAGGAGAGAAAGAAACTTCCAGCAAGAGGGAAAGTGGCAGCCACACCTTCAGGCGGATGAGAGAGGACCAGCCAGGAAAAGGAAGGAACTGAGATGGAAGAGCAGCGTCTGGAGCAGAGGCACAGAAATGTTAAAAGGAAAAGAAAAACGTCAACATTTCTCACCTGCCCTCAAACTGCTATCACCTCAAACCCAGAAGGCCTCATCTCTTCTTCTGCGTCAATCCTTCAAGTCATGCTAACGGCTGCCAAAGACCTGAAAGTTTCATTCCACTGCTGCCCCAACCCACAGCATTCTGACTGCCTCTGCATGGAAGTATCTCATGGCTTCTTCCTCTCTGATCTCATTGATTGTCCAGAAGTTTTATTTCCTTGGGCATAAAGTATTTCTCAATAAACTGAAGAGTTCCTTGAAAACTAACTGAAATTCATTTGCACCTACATACTTTCTTGTTTGTAACTGATACTTTTGGCTATCGTTTTTTTGAGCATGCATGTATATATTAACCCTGAATCCTCATTACTACCCTATAAGGTAGATATTATCCCTATTTCATAGATGAAGCACAGAGAAGCCACAGAACTTTCCCAACACCACACAGCTAGTATTTTTAATGGCGAATATTTGAACCCAGGCAATTTGATGACATTACCCATGTTCATCACTATATCGTTTCCTGGCAGGTCAGTATTTGGCAGGAGAACTCAATATTAATCACTTGAGCTATCTGATTTTCTTTTACTTTTTTTGAAAGATCCCTTTTTCACTCTACATCTTTTGACTCTGTCAATCATGCTAAAAAAAATCATCTTAAGAATGCCTGATATTTTTTTCTCTAATACTCATTTATCTTGATGTTTTAAAATAGCTTAAGAAGCAGTTCTTGATTGTGTAGTATCTTTTAAATTAGCTACAGTTTACTATTCTAAATTTGCATACATGTGTGAAAGGTTTCTCTGGGTCTTTATTTTCCTTCCCAATATTGAACTTCAACTGAGTGATTACTATAGCATAGTGTGACTCACCCTCACACAGAATGGAATTCTTACACCAAAAATATACTTAAGTTCTGTAGCCTTATATCCTAATTTAACAACATATTTTTCCTAACCTCCCCCTAGTTAAGCATAAGAAATAAAAACTAGAGACTGTGCTTTTTACCTGGAGGAACTTACATGCAAAAGATAAGCCTGCTTGTTTAAAGCTGAAGAAAGAACCTAGTAGAGAAGGTACAGTTAAGGATGTTGGCAAGAAAAGGATTAAGAGGAAAAGGGTCCCAAGAGGAGATAAGGACATTTGAAGACGGCTGATTGAAAGGCTGAGGAAGTTCACAAAAACATCTACTATCCTATGAAACAGGAAGCAAGGTAGTGTCTGAGAATAAGGTGAAAAGAACCTGAGAGTAATGATTAGGGCAGTGGGGGCCTTAGGAAGTGCTACCATGAAATGTGTGAAAGAAATCAGATTAGGAACATAGCTTCCATCTTGGCTGCTATTTCCAAGAAGTAAAAAAATTTACATATCTTGTATATGTATACAAAGAGGTTTTCAAGGCAGAGATTTAAGGTATCTATCTAGTAAAAAGGCAACATACATGAATCATTTATGATAAAGGAAATCATTTTTAATGTCTATATTTGGAAAAAAGCAACATGCATAAATCATTTATGATAAAGGTGCCATTTAAAAAGATGTCTATATTCTCACCCATGCTTTTGTTGGAAATGCTAACTAAGCCTACCATATAGAAAAACGTATTACACATCAAATAGCATTATAGTCTTAAAATGTGCTTAGCTACAGCTGCGTACCTTCAGAACAGTCTGCTCTACTACATGTTTCCGTAACAGCAATCAGCTCCTATGCCTCTGGTAAACAAGGGAGTGATAACAGAACAATGTAAAGCTTTATTGGCTCATATGTAATTTTTTTCTAAGCAAAGGGAACCAGGAGGGCAAGAGTACCATTATAACCTTAGGCAGAAAAGGCAGAAGCTCTCTGCTCAGCTGCTGCACAGCACAGGGACTATACCCTCAGCTTTCCATGGCTCTTGGCTTGTGGGAGTTTGTACTTCATCTTGTGCCCACCTTTATGTAGCAGCCCACTGGCTCAGAGCTCTACTTTCATCTGCAGTGGCTCAGTGCCTACAAGCAATCATTTCCCCTCTATTGCTTTTGTACATTTTTAATAGCCTCTGTAACAGACTCCAAGTCACTGAGCCCCCTGCTTGGGCTTTCCAAGTACTCCCCACTGAGGTACCCAGTACTGACATCGTTAGCACTCTGGTTACAAAGTTGCATAAAGTTTTCCTACTCTGCCCCATACCTAATTTTCACCTATAGGCATTGTTACTTTCAGTGCACAATTTAATTTTTTTTAAAAAAGATACTTTAGCAATGCAAATATATATGTTACAGACCAAACACCCATAGGTATGCATCTAAGTGGAACTCAGTGACTCACCTTTGGAAGTTTGATAGGGGGCTCTTTGGATTCCTCCTCTTCATCACTATCTGATTCTCCACTCTGCACAGAGTTCTTAGATGCAGCTGCCAATGATGTTTCCTTTTTCTGCCATTCCAGAATGCAATGGCGTACATTGCAATAAATATTAAATGCAGAAGGATTGCTATGTAGTTTGATATCTGGTATTATTACTGTATTCTCCAAGTTTTCAGACTGAAATACAGGACATATTATTTCAATTTCATATTCCTTTCCATCATCATCAACTCTCATTTTAAATAAAAAATTAAACATCAGACAGGCTAGATGATTTGTGGAAGTCACATAAGTGACACAGCAAAGACAATGTAAGTCTATTGACTCAATTTATAGCACACTTTTTACTAAAGTTCACTACCTTCTGAATAACAGCAATAACCAAATAACCAAACTGACAAGGGCTATAAAGGAGCCAGCAAAGAACTTACCAGGAATACCCTCTTACCCCACAAAAGAAAAAGTTAACAGAGCTTAACTGCTACAGTTTCAAAGGATATGTATTTGGTGCTTTTCTAAGGTACACTGGTGTATTGAAGAGTCTTTGTGACCTACTACATATGTTAAATTGTATTTTGCTTTCTTTCAAAAGTAGATACAGGGATTTTAAAAGAGATTAGGGTTTAAAAAAAACCCCAAACTCTTAATTTTAGTCAATTTTAACTTCCTTCTCCTTGAAATAATGGTAATGCTAAGAAAACTACAGATTATGGGCATATGCTTTCCAAAAGTTCTCTTAGCTATCTGTCTTACAAGTACGTGCTTGGTAATTTAATTGTTAAAATTAAATACTCAATTTCTGTTTTGGCCCAAGATTTTTCTCATCAGACTCCAACTATATTTTTGAGATCAACATTTACATTATAAGTACAGAACTAGTTTAAGATATTCTACAAACCCAAGTTCCAACAGAGTGTGTCTAGGAAGTATCCAAGATGAATAAAATGATACCTTGAGTACTAAAAATACTTAGTTTCAAAATTCTACCCTCTATAAGTAATTAGGGAAAAAATGGAGTATTCCTTGTTAAATAAGAAATGTACTAAAGTTAACTGACATATAACATGTGAATGTCTTCCAGAGATATTAAAAACCAGCAAATATTAGCAATTCAAATCCAACAATGTACTGTTAAAAAGATAATACATAATGACCAACCCCCAAACAAGAGTGTACAACACTGGAAAACAATCCAAAATCTATACTGCTGAAAATAAGAGGGAAAAAAAAAGACACTGTAAATAAACATGGAAAAAGCATTTGACAAATGCCAAACACCCATTCATGATAAAAAGCCTAAGTAAGTCAGGAATAGAAAAGAATTCTAAAACTTGATAAAGGGTACCTATGACATACCTACAGCTAACATAGTAAAAGACTGGATGCCTTCACCCTAAGATTGCAAACAAGGCAAAGATACCTACTCTCAGCAATTAGATTCAAGATTCTGTTAGATATTCTATCCAGTGCAATAAGCCAAGCAAAAGAAATAAAAGATACAGTTAGAAAGGAAGAATTATCTTCCAAAAATCAAGTATCTTTGCAGAAGACATGTAAAGAATCTTAAGTCTACAAAACAGTCACTAATAATAACGTGTGGATTTAGCAAAGTCATAGGATACCAAACAAATACATAAAAATGAGTTCTTTATCTATACACTAGGAGAGCAAACAATTAAAATATAAAACTTAGAAAATAATAGCAGTAAAGTTACAGACGGGGAAAAAATATTTACAAACTGCATATCTTATAAACGACTAGCATCCAGCATATGTGAAGAATTCTCAAAACTCAAATAAGAGTGAAAAACAAACAAGCAAGCACTCCAAATGAAAGACAGGCATAAGACATGAACAGACATGTCACTGAAGAAGAGATACAGAAGGCAAATAAGCACATGAAAAGATTTTCAATATTATGAGCCTTAGGGAAATGCAAAATAAAGTAAAATGAGATATAGTACATACCTATCAGAATGGCTAGAATGAAAAATAGTGACACCACTAAATGCTGGCAAGGATGTAGAGAAACTGAATCTCTCATATATTGCTGATGGGAATGTAAATTGATACAGACACTAGAAAAAAGTACAGCAGTTTCTTATAAAATTAAACATGTACTTACAGTATTATCCAGCAACTGCACTCAGGCATTTATAGCAGAGAAATGAAAACTTATGTTCATACGAACACCAGCACATGAACATTCACAGCAGCTTTATTCAAAATTACCAAACTAGAAACAACTCAGATGTCTTTTAATGAGGGAAGGGTTAAACAAAGGGTGGTATATCCATGCCACAGAATGCTTACTCAGCAATAAAAAGGTGCAAATTACTGACATATGCAACAGCTTGGATGAATCTCAAGGGAATTATGCTGAGTGGAAAAGTTACATACTGCATGATTCCATTTATGTAACATTCTTAAAATGACAAAATTATAGAGATGGAAAACAGATTTGTGGTTATAGAGGCTAGGGAGAGGTTGAGGTTTGGAGATGTCTGTGGTTACATAAAAGTAGCACAAAGTGTCCTTGTGATGAATGTTCTATATCTTTATTGTAGTAACGGTCACAAAGATCCACACATGTGATAAAATTGCACAGAACTAAATACATACACACAAATGAGTGCATGTAAAACTGCTGAAATCTAAATGAGATTTGTAGGTTGTATCAATGAAGATTTCCTGGTTGTGGTATTTACTACAGTTATGCAATACTTTACCAATGGAAGAAAATGGGTAAAGGGTACACAGGCTCTCTCTCAATTATTTCCTACAACCATTCACATTACAATCACCTCAGGATTTTTTAAGAAATTTAAATAATAGCATTTACAGCAATATCAAAAACATACTAATTAGTTAAATTTAATAAAACTATGTACAAGCTGTGTCCACTGAAAACCAAAATAATATCACTGAGAGAAACTGAAGACTTAAAGAAATGGAGAGAGAAACCATGTTCATACAGAAAATTCCACATCATTAAAATAGCAATTCTTTCCCAAACCTACAGATTCAATGTACTCCCAATAAAATTCCATAGTTTTTTTTAAAAATGGAAACTGACAAGCTGATTCTAAAATTTATATGCAAATGCAAAGGACCTGAGGTAACTAAAGCAATTTTTTTTAAAAAAGACCATTAAAAACAAATGACCTATTTCAAAACTACTGTAATGAAAACAGTATGATAGTGGTATAAAGATAAACATATAGATCAATTAAACAAAACAAATTCCAGAATAGGCCCAAACATATATAAATTTCTGATTTTTTACAAAGATGCCAAGATAATTCAATGGAAAAAAATGTATTTTTAAGAAATAAGTCTAGATCAACTGAATACCAATGTGTGAAAAAATAAATATCAACCCTTATCTCACACTATACACAAAATTAACTTGAAAAGGATCATAGACCTACATGTAACAGCTAAAAACTGTAAAATCTCTAGGAGAAAATCTATGCAACATTGGGGTGGACAAAGATGTACAACATGAAATGCATGAATCATATTTAAAAATCAATTAGTTGAATTTATAAAACTTAAAAACTTTTGTTCTTCTAAAACACTATACAAAAGCAAAAAAAAAAAGCAAACCACAGGCGAAATTATTTGCAGCAGATATCTGACAAAGGACTTCAATCTAAAATATATAAAGTACTCTAACAAGTCAATAAGAAGACGACAGTTATAACAAGGAGAGGCAAGAGTTCAAGAGACATTTCACACATTTCACAATAAAAAGATATGAATGGTCAAAGGTACATCATATGACGATGATGGTGTTCACACCATTACTCATTAGGAAAAAGCAAGCTAAAACCCCAGTGTGATACCCCTATGTACTTACTAGAATGACTAAAATTTTAAAAGCTAACAATACCATATGTTTGCAAAGATGTGATGCAACTGGGTTTCTCATACACTACTAGTAGAACAGTAAAATGGAATATTCACTTTAGAAAACAGTTTTCATAGTTTCTCAAGAAGTTACACATTTGTCTACCATGCCACCTGTGTGGAAGAGTTAACACCACAAGTACGATTGCTTATTCCTTGTGTTTCTCTAATGGAACCATAACTGACCCTTGGCCAACCCTTGGGAATGTGGTCTTAAGAGTTTTCTTTATATTAGTTACTGGCGATTTTATTACATACTTCTGGGGCAACAGACCACACCCACTGGCTTGTCCGACTGCTTTGCAAAATCATCAAGACTGACGATGTGCACGCAAGTTTCACTTACTTTGGCTGACTGTGTAATAGGACATGTCTATGTGACCAGATCCCCACGAAAGTCTCAGATCTTAAGACTCAAATGGGCATCCCTGGACAGAAACGTTCCACACATGTTCCTGCAGTTCATGGCCAGAGAAAAAGCATGTCCTGTGTGCTCACACAATGACCAGGAGGCCTATGCCACGACTCTTTAAACAGCACCAATACATTTTTCCTGTTGCTTACTCTGTGCCTTTTATTTTAATAAATCTTAGCCATTAGGATAAGTTACTTGTGAATCTTATGAGTCCTTCTGGCAAATCACTGAAGAAAACATCACCTAATTACTTCACTCCTAGGTATTTAACCTCCCTCCAAAACAAAAACTTATATCCACACAAAGACTAGCAAACAAATGTTCATAGTGGTTTTATTTTCAATGGCCAAAAACTGTAAACAACCCAAAAATGTCCATCAACAAATGAATGGATTAACAAATTGTGATATGGCCATACAATGGGATACTAATCAGAAAAAAAAAAGAAGAGAGAGAGAATGGCTGTTAATATATACAACAATATCAACACAACTCAAATCATTATACTGAAGAAAAGAAGCCAGGTACAAAAGCATATGCCACATATGATTACATTTATATGAAATTCTAGAAAATGAAAACCAATCTATAATGACAGAAAGTACATCTGTGGCTGTGTAGAGCCAGAGCCATAGGGAGAGATGGAATGTAGCAGAGGATGAGAAAATTTCCTGAACCTCGATTGTATCTTTCAAAACTCACTAAACTGTACATGTTAAATCCCTGTCTTAGATTCCACTATTAAGGAACCTGACCTAAGACAGACACAGTCGGTAGCAGAATGCTGAGGAAGATGCCTGTGTAATGGATTTGACTTCTCCTATGAGAAAGTGAAGTCATTTGCTGGAAAGCAGAATTTAACATAAGTTTGAGGAGAATGGCAAAGGTTTGAAATAGTCACGGGAAAAATGGAAGAACTATTTGACCAGAAAAAAAAAGAAAACAGTCTGACTATGGAAGGTCCATCTGACACTGGTGATCATGGATGTGCACTGGTATCAATTAGCTCTTATTTAACTTCCTTTAGTAGCACATAGTCTTCACCTGCAGGGAAAGCGGGAAAGGTGGCTGGACTTGTATAGGATTGAGTTTTGTCAGATAAATTCAATAAATGTACAAGAGGGAAAGGAAGATACAGAAGGTAGAATAATGGCCTCCAAAAATATCTTCCCACTAACCCCCAGAACCTGTGATCATGTCACCTATTAGGGTAAAAGGGACCTGCAGATGTAAGAATCTTGAGACAGGGGATTATTCTGAATTAATTAGGTAGGCCCAATGCAATCCCAAAGGTCCTTATAAATGAAAGAGGATGGCCAGACAGTCAGAGAAGGAGATGTAACAAGAGAAAAGTGTCAGTGATACAGCCTGACGAGACTTAACCAACCACACTGGCTCTGAAGATGGAAAGGGGCACAACCCAAGGAATGCAGGCAAGCTCCAGGAGCTAGAAAAGGCAAGGAAATGAATTCTCTCCTAGAGCCTCCACTTTGATTTTAGCCCAGTGAGTCATTTTAGAATTGAGACTTCCAGGGCTATAAGATTAATTTGTGTTATTTTAAACCATAAAGTTTGTTTTAATTTGTTACAGTAGCCATAAGGAACTAATACAATAGATTAAGCAAGAACTGTTCTAAAAATACCATGGATAAGAAGGAAAGTAAGTGAAGGAGATGGTTAATGGAGAAACAGAAGGGTCAATGCCAGCAATAAAGGAGATGAAATAGTATAGCTAAATCGCATTCTTTACATAACTTTCATAAACCTTTTTCATAAAAAGGTGGTAAATGAAAAAAGTCCAAAAAACGGTTAATAGAGGGGAAGGAGACTAACACCACCATTTCACTGTTTTATATGCTCATCATGAGCAAGAAATGTTTCTTTCTCACCTTTCCATCCCAAATACCTAGCACAAGGCCTACACAGAGTCAGCATGCACTAAATGTCTGAGGAGTAAATGAAGAAATTTTTTTTATATATCACTCTTATCACAAGCTGCTCCTAAAAAGCAAATGTAAAACCTGAAGGTCAACAGAAGAAAGATGAATTACTAAAAGCACAAAGCTAGTTAGAGACAGAACTGAAGGAGAAGAAAGACCTTGACTTCCCATCTCTTCCTGGATATCACATGCAAGCACTTTTATGAAAATCAACAAATGAAACCTTAAAAAGAACTTTAAAAGATTTTCAGATATTCCCACACTCTGACTTTGCACGTAGCACCAAAAACTGGAGAAGGGGTAGAGGTTGGAAATCTGAATGACTATGAACTTGTCAAAGGTTTTCATATATTAAGTGTGGTAAGAATTCTCTCCACTTCCCTGTTCTGTCCCCAAAACAGAAGTAGTAAGATGTGATACAGTGAATATGTATTATTTTTCTGCCCATCCAGCAACAGTTTCCTTAGGGCAACCATTCCTCTCCCATTCCACATAGCCTGCTTGTCAGGGTGCTCACCTATTATCCACTACAAGCTTATAAGCACAATTCAGCCTAACCAATCAAAGTACCCGATCTTCAAGGGCAAGGTGAATGATGAAGCTCAGTCAAAAACCCTATCCAAGATTTTCTGCACAACTAGTAGAAGCAATTGCCTTTTGCTTAAAGAAAATAAAGCTGGAGCTACCAGGAGCCTTAGGCCTCAGCCACAGGCAATAAGCCCACACACAGAGAAAAAGAAAAGCAAGAAGACATAGATTTGATGACATTATTTAATCCCCAAATCCAGCTGATAAATTCCATCCCCTTTCCTTTTATTTTTGGTTTGCTACTTTAAAGTAGATTTCTCTCAGTTTACAACAGCAAGAACACTAATTTAAAAGGGCAGGAAACAATTATCTCTAGAGCTTAAATATGATATACAACCCAAGCTAAGTAACTGTTTCTATAAGCAAAGGTAGAGCTCTTCAGAAATCATAGTTAAGACTCTTCTCTTCCTCCTATGGAGGCTTTTTACTATTGTTTAATTGAAGAGAGACTCTTTCATAGAACGTGGGATCTGGTCCCTGAAAATTCCCAAGAAAAAAACTAGATGGATTTTATAGAGAAGATACCTGCATTAGGTGGAAAAACAGATCCCTGATCTCTAAGGTACCACCTAATTAAAATATTCTGCATTGCCTTTCCTTTTGCACAGCCACCAACAGTTAAAAGCAGCTCAGAACAGTACAGACACATTAAGATTCTCCCTAATTCCTGACATATGCACAGGGATATATGACAAACCCCAATCCAAGTCCCAACTCACAAGCCAATTTTACTCAGTTTCTAGTACATGCAGTCAGAGTGAAAAGAGAGAAGAAACATAGATATCTTCCCCCAAAGGACTGATAAAAGATAACAAGAATAAAGAATAAATAATTTTCAGCACCCAGATAATAACTTCCAGGTTACTGGTCGAGAAATGCGAAAAAGATGAAACTAAGCAGTGTAACCAAATAATAAGGGGCTTTAAATTTTTTTTCAGCACATAGAAGTAGCAGTTTGCTAATTATACTCCTACCTTATTTTTTATTGAGGTATAGCTGATGTACAATATTATACAAGTTCTAGGTGTACAATATACTCATTCACAACTTTTAGCTTTTATTACATTTATAGTTATTATAAAATATTGGTTATTTTCCTGTGTTTAGTATATGTCCTTGTACCTTTTAGATTTTATATATAGTAGTTTGTATCTCTTATTTTTTTAATTGTGGCATTTTTATTCAAATTACAGTATGAAAAAGTCCTTATTCCCTGTAAACTGCTAAGAGTTTTACCTTGCTTCTTGTCTTCACTTTTGATTTGCTCTTCTGTTTTCTTTTCAACTTCTTCTTATTTAAAATTTTCTTATTCCTAAAAATGTAAAAAAAAAAAGGGGGGGACAGAATTATGGAAGTTCATATTTTAGGACAAACAAACTTATTAAAAATAGGTATTTCCAAAGTAGACACCTGAATATTTCTCTTAGAAACTTTCTATGAAACAATATACTCCAGATGTACATGTAAGATATTAACATACAATATAGCTATTGGGATGACAACACAGATCTGGATAGCTAAAAAATACGTATTAAATTATTTTTTACATGTGAATTCTGCAAATACTTTTATAAAATTAAAAATATAAAAAGGCATTAAACAAAGTGTTTAAAACTTTATTCAACAGTGAGACTGCTAATAAAGCTCAGCTATGTTCCCCTCCCAGAAAAATCTACTGTTTGTAGTAGTGAGGGCTGCAGTCCCCAAAGGGTCAGGAGCTCATTTTGACTAAATCACTACAGGAAAACCCTAACTCATATACTTTTCATATCCAGCAGCCAGTTTTCCATTTCCTCACAGACCTAAGATAAAATTATTCTTTAAGTAAAGGGAAGCCCCTGAATGACTTTCAGAAAAAAAAATTTTTTTAATGTGGCAAAGAGTGAGAATTATAGGAAGAAAAAGAATCAAGGAAGATGTTTTATTTTCATCTCATTTTAATATTTTTATGTCTACCATGCTGAAGTGCACACTGCTAGTACTAAAGATAAAAAAGTTCTTACTCTCAAGGAGCTCCGAGACTTGAATGAAAAGCATAGTTTAATGACCCAGCAAGAGGATGCTACTGCTATAATAAAGACAAAAGGTGAAGAAGAAGAAGAGGAGGAAGAGGAAGAGACAGAGAGGAGATGAGGAGGAGGAGACGGAAGAGCCTCCAGATGCTACAGAGGTCAAGTCCTTAGCACTTGGAGAATAGCTCAATGGAAGCTGTGACGAAAAAAAAAAGTTGTAAGGCTAGATGACTTGGAGGTAGGGATGTCATTCACCAAACAGGGAAGCCAAGGGGAAGAGTTAGTTTTCAAATGGAAAAAAATGGGTTCAATTTTGAAAATGTCTGTATTCAAGTTACTAAAATGTCAACAAAATGTACATGAATAAATATATGAAAATCTCATCCTTGACACTTCCTTCAGCTTTATATCTTGAACCAAAATAATGACAAATTTTATCAGCTATATCTCGTAAATAGTTCTTGAATCTCTCTACAGCATCTCTACTGCTAATATGCTAATAATTTAAGTTACCACCACCTTCTGCCTGGATCACTGCCAAAGCTTTTTAAAAAGCTTCATTTCTGCACATCCATATATGCCCCCTTTCAATCTGTTTGTCACATAAGAGCTCAAGTCAACTTTTTAAAAAACAAATGAGTAGGTAATCCTCCCACTAAAAACTCTATTAATATCTTCTCAATCTCTTAGAAGACCAAAAGCACTGACGTGATTTAAAAGATTCTCTACCAAGATCCGACCTCTGCTAGTCTCTCTTGCCTCATTTTGCATCCTTCTCCAACTTGTTCATCATACTCCAGCCACAGGACTATTCGTTCAGTTGTTTGAACCTGCTAAGTTACTTGGGGGCTTCCACGAAAGTTCTCCTCTCCCTGAATTCTCTCCCACATCGTCTCTTGCTAACCCCTATTCATCTTTGACGTCCTAGTATAAGAGTCACTTACTCAGGAATGTTCCAGCTTGGGCTAGTGTCCCTAAATCCATTCTCATTTCACTTATACTTGTGTCTCACTGTGTAATCTACAACTGTAATTATGTTTGGGGTTATTTGTTTAATGTATCACTTTCACACCACGCTGTAAGCCGCAAGAGTGCAGAGATCATGTCGTGCCTGTTCACTGCTCCAGCCTCTTTGCTCAGATAAGTGCCTGTAACTAAGTACTCAACAATTCTTTGAAAGAAAAAGAAAGTAGGAGGAAGGGAAGAGGACAGGGAGAAAAGAAGGAAGTTCAGAGCTATAGCTACCAGCCTTACTTAGTGAAATAAGCAAAGGGAGAGGATGGATTCACAGATACACCAGATACACAGATACATTTAAAAGACACCTAGTCAGAAATGTCCATTAAGGAATTATCCATGGAATTATTTTACACAAATTTTGGTGCAAAGGAGGCAATGGAAATCATGTATATGGATGGGATTTTCTCCAAGAGAGTATGCTACAAAAATAGAGAGTGATGAATAGTACCAAATGTTACAAATGAACAGACATACCTGCTCACGAAATCTTTTGAAATATGAGCAAAGAATATCTATTTCAATAGTTTCCCTTTCAGCACCTGCATCAGTATCTAATCATGAATGTTCAAGAAATATAAGAACAAATAAGTTAATGAAAAGCAATGAGAATTTTTCATGTGTAGTTTAGGAAATCAACTTTCCTTTATACTAAAGTTTAGTTAAGTGAAATCAGTTACTTGAGCAACAGGAATATGTAACCGTTAAAAGGTTTGCCCCTTCTATACCTAAGCAAAAACAATCTTCAGATAAGCCGAATATATAAATTCAAGTTAAGATGAATTTCCTGAAGCCTATTTATCATGAACTTAAATTTTCAAAAGTATACATCAATATTTTTGTCTGTTTTATTTAATGGACTTCCTCAAAGTTCAAATGACCTTCTATGCATTCTTAAAATATTTATTTTTATGCATTTGGCATTTAATTAGTTGTAACGATTTTAATGAATCTGGACCCACCATATCCTAAATATAGATCAGCTTAAGAATCAGTTTTCCCCAAATTCCCACAAATTGATTTAAGTGTGTTTTTTATTGATTGGGCTTATTTAGAAGTAGACGGTTGTTCAAAATAGCTGATAATAAGCTAAAGATTATACATAGAAAATCTGTCTTCAACATTTGGAAATAAAAATGTTATTTGTTAGTAATATAACATCCCACTGTAAGACTGCATTTCAGAACTAAGCTTAAGTAAACTTTTCATGTTATCTGAGGATGGACAGATAAAAGAACAACTCCAGAAATGAGTCTTACACATTAACATTTCACTGTGGAATTTCTGATGATTTAGGACTTCAAATCCTAAATCAATAGGAGCTTAATGAAGAATGTCTGGAATTGGTCCCGTAAGATTTTTAGTCTTCTCACAAAAAGAAACTCATACCCATGAGATTTGGAAGAATTACGGGTGGTAAAGAAAGGCAAAGGTTATTAACATGCTTTAAATATTTACTTTTAAAATTCCAGAAAAGAGATTTTCTTGATAGCTACCACTGTTTAACAAAACAAAAATTAGCCATAATTTAATTTAAAACTTCTCTCACTCTGAATCTGTTTCTTCATTCGCAAAATAAAGAGATAAAGTAGATTATCTCTGAGAGTCCCTCTAACTCTAAAATGCTAGGATTTAAATAAGTCAAAATTCAAAGAACTTATGGAATAAAAAGGTTTCAATCTTCTGTTTAATTTTCCTTAGAAATGAGAAATGAAAATTCCTGAGTCTATGGTTTAAGGCAGGAATAGACATTTTTTTTTTCTATAAAGGGCCAAATAATACATATTTTATGCTTTGTGGGCCATAGACCTCTGTTTCAACTACTGGACTGTCATCATGAAAGCAGCCAGAGACAACACAAAAACAGATGTGTGTGACTGTATTACAATAAAACTTTATTTCTGGACACTGACATTTGAATTTCTTATAATTTCCATGTGTCACAAAACATCTTTCTCCTTTTTATTTATTTATTTTTAAACTTTTAGAAATGTAAAAACCATTTTTAGCTCATAGGTCATAGAAAAAAAGGAACTGGGTCAGAATTGTTCTGTAGACCATAGTTTGTGGACCCCTGGTCTAGAGAATATTTTGATAAACAGGCGCATATCAGCAAGAAAAAAATATAAGTATTAGTATGCAATACAGATAAAACTATTCAAAATATCACTATGCTTACACAAATAAGCACTCTTAAAATTATCTGTCTTTTCTTTCTGCAAAGATAAATTCCTGACTTCCACTTCCCTAAAGTAAAATACTAGATAGAAGCAAGCCACTGCTCCTCCTGCAAAAATTAGACTAACATAAGAAAGCTATGGAAGCAACTAAGGACTGGATAAGCTAAAAATCCAGAAATGGAAGAGCAATTCCAAAGACAGCTGAGACCATTGGCATTTTGTTCCAAAGGGGCATTTGCAGAGTTTGGATATAAGTGAAGACTGAACTCACTAAAGGAAACCAAGAACTAGTGGTGCTTTACATATCTGTATGGGCTGGAATGACAGATGAGAAATCAAGAAAAACTTGAATTATGTACATCTAACAGTACATCTGCTTAGTGATGGGGCACTGAAGAAAGACAGAGAGGCTGGGCCTACAGGGCAGAGTCAATTTCCCAGTCTCCCAGTTTTCAAAGACAGCATCTCAGTAGAGAAGAATCTACTTAATCCTTGATTTGAACCAAGGTAGTCAGCACTTCACTCTATCTAACACAACAAAGAGCAAACCTCTCTGAAAAAATATCATCTGAAAGAAATTAACTGTTCTCTTACACACAATGCTGGGCACACAATAAACATGTTAAAAGACATCCAAAAAAGCAAAATAATGTGACAGACAGATAATCAAGAGAAAAATCAAACAATCAGGCAGACTCAAGATAACCCAGATATTGAGGTTAGGAGGCAAGGACTTGATGCAGATGTAAAGAACAAAATGAATGAAATGATGTAATGTTCAGCAAAACTAAAAATAAAAAGCCAAGTGGATTTTCTGGAACAGAAAAATCAATAACTGAAATTATGAACTTGTCAGATGCTTTTCAGAGCAGAAGAGACCAGAGAAATACAGAATTCATGGACTTGCACACAGGCCAAGAAATATATCAAAAGTCAAGTAAATAGAAAAGAGTGTGATGAACAAAACAAAGAGTATGAGACACATAAGACACAGTCAAATGGTCTCACATTCACGTAATTGGAATCTCTGTAAAAGAGAAGAAGAATGGAACAAGAGCAATATGAGAAGAGATAATTGATAATAATTTTATAAAAGTGAGGAA